GGCGCCGCTGAAGCCCCTCTCCGCCCCCAGGCAGCGGTCCAGTTTCCTGCCCAGCTACATCATTGACGTGCGAGCCCTGGACGAGAAGCTGCTCAACATCGTGGACCTGCAGTTCCTGCACGGCTACTACGAGCCCACCCTGCTCATCCTGTTCGAGCCCAACCAGACCTGGCCCGGGTAGGGCGCCGGGCGCGTGGGCGCGCAGGCGGCCGGGCGGGGGTGGGCCTGGCGGCCCGCTGACCGCCCGCTCCCCCAGGCGCGTGGCCGTGCGGCAGGACACGTGCTCCATCGTGGCCATTTCCCTGAACATCACGCAGAAGGTCCACCCCGTCATCTGGTCCCTCACCAGCCTGCCCTTCGACTGCACCCAGGCTCTGGCCGTGCCCAAGCCCATAGGTGGGGGTGGGGGCCTTTGGGGCGGGTGGGCGTGGGGGCCCCGAGCCCCGCCCACTGGCCCTTCCTGCAGGCGGGGTGGTGATCTTCGCGGTCAACTCCCTGCTGTACCTGAACCAGAGCGTGCCGCCCTACGGCGTGGCCCTCAACAGCCTGACCGCCGGCACCACCGCCTTCCCCCTGCGTGAGTGCGGGCGGGCGGGTGGGGGCGGGGGGCCGGGGTCTGCGGAGCCCTGACCGTCCCTCACAGGCACCCAGGAGGGCGTGCGCATCACCCTGGACTGTGCCCAGGCGGCCTTCATCTCCTACGACAAGATGGTCATCTCGCTCAAGGGCGGCGAGATGTGAGTGAGCCCGCGGTCAGCCCTGCACCCCCCAGCCCCGAGCGTCGTTGCGGCCGCGCCCCAGCTTGCTGTCCCTCCGCAGCTACGTGCTGACCCTGGTCACGGACGGCATGCGCAGCGTGCGGGCCTTCCACTTTGACAAGGCGGCCGCCAGCGTCCTCACCACCAGTGTGAGTGGCGGGCGGGGTGCGGTGGGCGTCGCAGCCCGGGCAGGCCGTGTGGCCCTCACTGACCGCCAAGGCCGCCCACAGATGGTCACCATGGAGCCCGGGTACCTGTTCCTCGGCTCCAGGCTGGGCAACTCCCTGCTCCTCAAGTACACGGAGAAGCTGCAGGAACCCCCCGCGGGCGCCGGCCGCGAGGCGGCTGACAAGGTGGGTGCTGGCCTCGGGGCGCCCCGGCCGGCGGCACTCACCAGCCTTGGGGCGCTCACCACCCTCCCACCTCACAGGAGGAGCCGCCCTCCAAGAAGAAGCGCGTGGACGCAGCCACCGGCTGGTCAGGTGGGTGCAGGCCCGAGAGGGGGGTGCTGGCGGGGTGGGGCGGCAGCCGGTGACCGGCCGGCGCCGCAGGCAGCAAGTCGGCGCCGCAGGACGAAGTGGACGAGATCGAGGTCTACGGCAGCGAGGCCCAGTCGGGCACGCAGTTGGCCACCTACTCCTTTGAGGTGAGCCCGGGGGTGCCCCCGCCCGCCCTTGCCCGACCCCGCCCGCCCCCCACCGTGCGCGAGTCGGCTCTGCCTGCCTGCAGGTGTGCGACAGCATCCTCAACATCGGGCCCTGCGCCAACGCCGCCATGGGCGAGCCCGCCTTCCTGTCGGAGGAGGTAGGGGGCGGGGCCGG